CCTAGATGATTCTATGATTCTATGATTCTATGATTATTTATGAGCAAGCACCTGAGTGGGTATTTTGCGTTTTAAACTGTAAAGCCAAGCTATTGACAATTTTTCTCTTCCTTTTCCTAAATTCTCTTCTGTGTTTGGTAACACCCTACACAGATGACATTTCAGTATATGCTGTTCTGGCGGCAGTGATCAGCTGAAATAGTGGCTCCCTACCAGGAGAGCTGACATCACTGATGAGATAAGACCATATGTTATGGGTGACAAAAGACTGGGCTCAGATTGGCAGTTTTATCCATTTCCTCTCAAGCTTCCTGAAGGTAAAAGCGGTGGCAATAGGACCTGACAAAGCTTTTTTCTCTACCTTTCCTCTGCTCTTTAATCTTCTGTCCAAAAGAAGACGGAAAAAGAACTTTTCCTTCCTGCCTTCTTTTTACAGCAATGCTGCTTCCAGCACAGTCTTTTTTTCACCCTACAGAGCCCCTGTCCTTGAGCCTCCCTTCTTCCTCCAGAGTGAAAAGGAAAAAAAGCAGCAGCAAAAACAAGAACAGTGGTGGCTGAGTCAGCTCACTCTACCTTTTCCAGATAACCTGAAAAATATGAGTAGTATCCTATATGTTGCTAACATAGGACACAGAATTTTAGGCTGAAACACAAGGTATCACATATAATACAGCATATCTGTCAGTTCTATCCAGACCCCCTTGCACTATTCTAGCCTCCCTTAATTTACTACTTTTTCCCAGAACGACCTTCAGCATCTCAGAAAGAGGGTGGTGAAGAGGAGAAAACAGAAGTAAAACACCAAGACAGCATGCACGTTGGCTGTGGGACCTTCACTCCTTTATTTGACAACTTCTTGTTCAAGTTCTGTTTATTTTTATGCATCCTTTGAAAATTGAAAGAAACTAAAAATGCAAGTACCTGCAGAAGTGTATGAACAACTTAACACCTAAACTATTTACATAAATAGCCATTTCAAAAAACAGGAAAAAAAAAAAAAGACTAAATGAAATTTAGTAGAGCTTCTACTGTGACAAACCAACCTGGGGTATGCTGAGATCAACATGACAACGCACGTGGAGAGTTTTACACAGATAGCTTGAGCTCAGTAGAAAAGGATTTTTCAGCCGAAAAAAAGTTTTACTATCAACATAAAATTAAGAAGCGTACTAGAAGACTGGTTTGCTGGGATTCTCCATAGTAACAGAAAGATTCAAGTGGGGACCTCTTGCCATGGATTTATTTACAAAGGAAAAAAAAAAGCTTGTCTAACTTTTATTTGAAAAATCTATGTTCCAACTTTTCATTAGTGTTATTGTAATCACTGAGTACAAATACATTAAGGATACTGCTGGCTTGGATTTAGTAATACACAGTAAGTGATCCTTTAAAATTTGATAATGCCGAATACTGAAATTATATGTGCCCTCATAACATGTCCCACATTGGCAGACAAATCATCACTGCTTAGGGTTGCTAGCTATGTCCAAAGAACTACTTAAAAGGCAAATGAGTCTCTGTCCTGCCTCTCTGTGAACCTTGAGTCAGCAGCGTGGTTCACAACCTTACTTTAAAAAAAACAAGGATGCCTGATAATCATTCTTTTGGCCATAAGACATCAAAGAAATCATATGTTGGATACATGTGTGTCAGTCTCTTCAATCTTTTTTTTCTCTATCTCTGAACTCCAACAACAACAACAAAAATTCTGAAAGCATAATACAAAAACATCAAAAAGAGTAACATAAGAATTTGTAAGCATCTCAAAAGGAAACAGCAGTACAAAAAAGAGCGTGACTTAAGAAAGGCTACGGGATATTCTTTAGTCTTGACAAGAAAGCCACCTAATCAGCAGACAACAACTTACTGCAATAAGCATAAAAGTTACCCTCCCTACAC